CCCCAAAACCCCAAAACCCCAAAACCCCAAAACCCCTTAAAAATCTTTTACTGTTGAAAATGCTATATTCCCTAAATCTTAGCTTTGAGGTGATGGAGTTTAGAGCCAAGGTATTTTGCAGATCTTTTTGCTTTATGCTGAATACCTCCAACAATCTGGTTGATTTTGTAATTATTGATCATCCAATTCGACAAATTCTTAAGCACAATCATTCTCTTACTACTTGGGTTTAGGATTAGCACGTTGAGTAAGTCTGACATCAATCTTTTCTTTAGTCTGAAAGAAAGTCCATTTTCTTGAATTTCTCCTACTGTTTTTAGGAGCCTAAATGACGCAATTTTTTACTCAATTCTTATAAAAACAGTTTTAACAAAACACAATAAAATGTTGGTTTGAGAAGTTCTTTGTTCTAGAATCAGCCTTGACGAATTACAAAGCTCGATCATGGGCTTAGAGCCCACAAAAGAGCAGATTCTTACCTAATATAGCTGGAAATTGAATGATAAATCTCAAACTTCTGTGAAGGAGTTTGTGTAGTAAACTTGTGCAAGACCTCGATGGTAGTCAGTAAAATATTGATCAAATCAGAGTTTTGATGCAAGAAAATTATAGAATTTGTCAGATAAATTATACCGTATTTCTCCAAAGCAGATGCCGATTCCTCAGCTTCCGAGATCATATGGGAGGAATCCTCCAGCTCATCTCTCTTTGGAGTTAGGACAGAGATTAGGTCAAACTTCTCAGGAACAAGAAGAGCCATACGATGGAAGTCATCTATACTAAACGTGCCTGTTCTGTTGAGGTCAAGGTAGTCTTTATCTGCAGTGTTTAGAAGAAACTCAGGGTTTGCTTTACAAAAAGCTTCAAAAATTGCATGAGAGCATAAAACTCTATCCTGTGAGCTATTCCCTGTCTTTCTTTTGAGCACAAGTTTGAAGAGTCTGGAGTAATCGTACTTCTTGCCAATGATGTTATAGCATTCTTCAATGAATTTGTCCCTTACTTCTTCAGAAATTTTGGGTCTAACGATCAGTGGCTCTCTGATTGGATGCACAAGGTTCCAGACTTTTGTCAATTTAGCTTTAGGGAAGGTGATCTGAAGACAGTTATAGTACTTATCCAGCACAACAAAGGCATGATCATATGTCATATTTGTAGCTTTCCTGAGACTTAAGCTGTTGAATAAAGTAGGAGTCTTCACCAGAAGGATATCTCCAGGCTGGAGTGTTTCCCGAGCTAACTCTTTCTGTAAATCTGGGAGTTGAAATTTATTCTTGAAAATTTTATTAAAGCTCGAAAAGGTAACTACCTTATCAGCCACAGAAGATGCGTTGTTTTTCACTCCCTTAGCTATAGTCTCTATATGATCTTTGGCACGATGGATCATCGAAGTGGCTGAACTCTTGGCTTTAGAGTACATGTTTATGACGCCAATATAAAATCAATTTATCTTAATTTTTTGGGGTTTTGGGGTTTTGGGGTTTTGGGGTTTTGGGG